AGAATCAAACTCTTGTAAGGTTCCCTCAGACAGCCAGGTTGAAGGAACCTGTTGCTGAAACTGCTTTTCAGATTGTCCAGTGTGTTATGGAGGAGGTCATTGTTATACAAGCTGAACACTGATTACTTTACATTATATCAGTGTCATAGCTTCAGTGATGTCACATGAACGGATATGATAAAATATTTACAAAAATGTGTATGATGCTGTAAAATAGTTGTGTTTATCTACATTTCACACAGCAGACTTGGGTTGGAAATTTCCACGTTTATTTTTCTCATTTCAGTTTTTTTGGCCTTTATTGATAACAAAGAGCTGACAGGAGAGCAGAGGGAGAGACAGGAATGCCGCGGGTCAGTCACTCTCAGCCACATGGCTCATCGCAGCGAGCTAAACTAACGCCCATATCTGTTTGTTTATAAAGATTTAATTTGAGTTCAGTTCAGTGATTCGTTATTATGGTATGATTTCAAGGAGTTTAGACAAAAACATTATACAACAATAAATATTTTGAATAAATAAATGTAGCCAGAGAGAGAGAGAAATCTGAAACTCTTTAGAAAATATTTTGCTCAGTGAAACACTGAAAAAACTTTTATTGTACTCTTCAAGTATAGCAATGTTTCTGTGACCACTTCTTACTGCTGCAGATGTGTGAGATGTCTGTTGGCCACACACATGTCCACTGTGTAAAATGTCACAAACATAAATTGTCTTCCACTCACAAAAACCGCTCCCTCATGACCATGAGAATCAAATCAAACAGGCGGCCTGGGAAGAGATGGGACTGAATATCGTTATCTGTCAGTGACGCAGGTTACAAGGAGAATGCGCTCCCTCCATGTCTTATCAGGCCGACTGTGAACAACTGTTACTGTGTTATGATGTCAAAAGGTCACAAACACCCTCCTATCTGAAAAAAGAAGCGTACTTGCTAGCACCTGCTGTAGTAACAATACAGTTCTCTGAATTTAACAATATTTAATAGATTGTGAGCACTGACAGAATTAAAAACTATAGCCACTCCAGCACATACCATGATACATTTTCAAGCTAAATGTTGCATAACCGAGGTTCATTTATTATTAGATACTACAAATATTGATATAGTTGTTGAATTGTTTAATAAATAATACTATTTTACTTTACTTCTACTACTGTTTGTATCAGACTGTGTTTGGAACAGTTTCCATAAGCCAAGCACACAAAAAACTGTCAAACCTGTAAATGATCAAAATGTTTGAAGATGTTTGTTCTGCACCATCTGCAGGTCAGCAAGTTCACTGAAGCACTGACCATGGTAACTAAATCCATCCACTCTCTTCCACTTAGCCTTCTGGGGAGACACGGGGGGGCTGGAGCCTGTCCCAGCTCCATTGTGACTCATTTGAACAAACTTTAACATCATCTTGAGTGTTACTTCTACTACAGTGAATCCACTCAGAGCTTGAAACCCACATATTTAAATCATTTTAACTATTTATTTATTCTATAATAGAAGACCATAAAAATTTGGTTTAATTATCTATTCAAGTTTCCAGCAAAATATTTGCTACTGTAGCCTTTTCTCACACACGCACTGAAACATGTTTCTAAGAAGGCAGTGCCAAACTGAATTAGTTGTATCAAATACAGGGTTACAGTTGAGAGCACACCATCAGCAAATAAATGCATGAGCGATTCAACAGCTACATTTATGCCAAATTTGCTGAATAAATAGTCCAATCAGCAAATTTCCTCCAAGATTAAACTTGTCTATGGTGAGCTTAGTCCAAGACAAAAGCTGTCCAACATGGAGTGGCTGTAGCTCAGGAGTAGGGCAGAAGGTTGGTGGTTCGATTCCTGGCTGCTCCAGACCCAAATATCTTTGGGTAGGATACTAACCCTGGAGTTGCTCTCTCATCGTGTGTAATTGGTAGCATTTGTGAAGAAGTAAGTGTTGGAGTGAATTATACGAGTCATTTAAAGCACTTTGAGTGCTCAGAGCAGGAAAATGAACCAGTCCATTTACCAACACAAAGGAATAGCTGTGTGCTTAACCCAAATGTGTTATAATACATGAATGAAATAAATACTGAAGTCAGTTTTATTCACATAGTGCCAAATCACAACAGCGGTCGCCTCAAGGCCCTTTATATTGTAAAGACCCCACAATAATAGAGAGAAAGCCCCAACAATCAAACAACCCCTGGCAACAATGTGCAGGCTGACTCAAACATGGGTTTATTCATCGTAAACGAAGGCAGCTTCAGTTAGTGATGGCCCAGTTGGTGCAGGACCAGGTCAGATATTTCCTCCACAGGTTCTCTCTGGGATAATTCTCTTTTAGGGAAAACACCAGGACTTCTAGGCAGAGGAGAAAACAAGTAGGTTGCAGGGAGTGAGAAAAACAGGATGATGGGCCATTTGAAGCTGAAGCATTAGCGTGGTGCTTTGGAGGCACTGTGTTGAGCCTTTGTTTGTCTGGCTAGAGTCAAGTGATCAGTGATGTCTGAAGCTTCATTCGGTTCATCACTATTTTAATACCTGATTCAATGGTTTCTAAGGGACTGAAGTGTTTGCAGGATTTGTAGTTTGATTTTGTTTGACCAGTGTGTGACATAAAAAGACATGGAGCCAGCAGTGAACCAACAACTCCAGCCCCAGGTCAAAAACATACACAAGAAATACACTAAATAATATATTATATATTGGTGTATGTCCACTGGTTAATTACAAAAGCAAGCATACGCCCAACCTATTGTAAGAGTTTGTTGTCCGTGTAGGTTCTCAGGGCTGACCTGTTTAAGTTTCTTGAAGACGTTTCATCTGAGAAGCATCTGCAGAGTTAATGGTGGAGAGTCCCAGCTTATGGGATAAGAGTGTGTTGTACATTATTATTTACAATGTTTGTTTTTAATCTATGATGTTTACAAAAGTCAAGAAGTCACAAATAAAGAGAGACCAGACCATGTTTAAACAAAGAAAGTTTATTCATGTAAATGACATATCAAGCAAATAGATATAACAATTTTACACAAAAAAACACGTTCAAAGCACACAAAACTGCCACATGACATTAAACAGAAGCTGTCAGTTCAGCTCTGCAGAGTATATAATCATAACCAAGCAGTTCATTTCAAGTTGCAGAGTCAAACTGCACTTCATATTTTTGGTAACCAGATGGCACCAAAGAGGACTGCATTAAGAAACTTCAAGTAATAAACCTTTCAGTGCTAAAGAAAGTTTCATTTGGCCAACGCTAACAGGATCAGAATTTCTACGTGACAAGCTGGTTTCACTAACATAGTTAATTCAAAGCTCGAGTAGTAGTAACAAAGGGCGGGAATCCAGAAGGGAGGTTCTAGAAGTGCAGCCTTCTGTTGGGACTTGTTGGGGATGATGGGAGGTAGATGGGATAAAAGACAAACTGTAGAAGAGACCCAGAGATTAATAATAATTAATTCAGGTCACCTGATCCAGCCCTAACTATACACTTTATGAAAAGGAAAGTTTGAAGCCTAATTTTGAAAGCAGAGAGGATGTCTGTCTCTTAAACTGGGAGCTGGTTCCATAGAGGAGGGACCTGAAAGTCAAAGGCTCTCCCAACCAATCTATTTAAATTTCATATGAACAACAAGTAAGCCTGCAGTTGGACAGTGAAATGCTCCATTTGGGTGATATGCTGCTATAAGGTCTTTAAGATAAGATGGAGCCTGATTATTCAAGACTTTACATTGGAAGAAAAGATTTTAAATTTAACAGGAAGCCAATGAACAGAAGCCAATATCAGAGAAATATCTCTTTCTAGTCCCTGTCAGGACTCTTGCTGCAGCATTTTGGATTAACTGAATGCTTTCCAGTGAGTTTTTAGGACATCCTGATAATAATAAATTACAGTAGTCCAGCCTAGAAGCAATAAATGCATGAACTAGTTTTTTAACATCACTCACATCACAGACAGGATGTTTCTAATTTTAGAGATTGATGCTAGAACAGTTATGCAGTAGTTGAATTCTGTAAGTCCGTTGTGCCATACCACATATGATTAACCAGCTAAACACAGCACACACACACCTGTGATATGCATATTGGGGTGGCTGGCTTCCCCTAGTCTGCATGCCAAAAACCCCTAATTGCGCTGCGATGCGGAGTTTGAATGTTAGTTAGAAAGCACTAAGAAAATGTGCTTGTGCGAATGGGTGAATGCACAAGTTCTGTAAAGTGCTTTGAGAGTAGAAAAGCGCTATATAAGAACCAGTCCATTTACCATATGCACATTCACCACCACTAGATTATCTGTTTAAACAACTCCTTATATGGGGGAGGGATTCCTTTTGTTGTGTCTTATAAGGGGGACACAATAAGAGGGTGTAAGTGTATAAAGAGGGATGGACAGACTTCCTCGATTTGGTTTCTGCATTCACAGTGTTACTGGAGGCCAGGGTAATGCCATCAGAGTAAGAATCTGGTTAGACACCATGTTTCTAAAGTTTGTATAGCTAACTACAATAGCCTGAGTTTGATCTGAATTTACAAGCAGAAAGTTAGCGGCCATCCAGGTCTTTATGGCATTCCTTCAGTTTAACTAATCGGTGTGTGTTATCTGGCTTCATGGACAGATAGAGCTGGGTGTCATCTGCATAGCAGTGAAAATGTATGCTATGCCTTCTGATGATACTGCCTAAGGGAAGTATGTATAATGTAAACAGAATTGGTCCTAGCACTGAACCCTGTGGAACTCCATAATTAACGTTTGTATCATGTAAATGGGGAGTATTTGCATGGACAAATTTAAGCATATTACACACATGTGATAATAAAATATCTTTAAATAATGTTAAGTGTTTTATTCTTACAGTTTTATAGCATGCTTTTATTGTGACGTTTGTTTGACTTGTTTCCCGTGTCGTGCCAAGGTAGGTATCCTCGACAGCATGTGGTTCCCCTGTGTCAGGAGCACGCACTGGGCTCTCCAAATCACAACACTTCTTATAATGACTTATAATGACTCCTGAAACTTTGGATGTTTTAGCCCTTTATACAATAAAGTTACAGGAGGATACAAATAATTAACGGGCAAAATGTCATCAATTTGTTGAAATAATCCAGTCCAATAACACATGAGAAGAATACATGTATCATTTTCTGTTTGTATCCCACAAACTGAATGGCAATGTGACAACACTCAAACCTTATAGTAGGGGCTGGATCAAGTGACTTTGACTACACTGCTACTACACTACTATTAGCTAAGCTACAACAGGCTTAGGCTGATGGGGACTGTTTTTTTTTTTCTTCACTTGTGGCTTTTCAAAGCCTGGTTCTCCCTGGTTCTCCCAGTATTTTAGTTTCTTTACTCTAAAGTTCCATGTTGGTGGGGATTAGAGATATTAAGAATGGAATGGAATCAAACTGAATAAAAGTGAAGCCCTGAAATGTGCACTATTACAAAAATCATTCCTTGGTTGAGAAAAAATAACCTGTCAACACTCTGATGGTAGCAGGCATATCATTGTCAGTCTACAATAAAGAGAGGTTTAATGAATGCTGACAACAAGGTGCAAACCGCTGATTACACTCAGTTTGAGGAAGGCCAGAGTAGAAGAAAACATCTAAAAGAGCCTCTGGAGAGAGATGAAACCAAGGATAACTCATACCAAAATACTGGGGAGATGAGTATTGTCAAGGAAAGGAAATGGCTCCTAATCTGAAGGACAAACATCAACTATCATAAATGGTGGTGGGAGTATTATGGCATGTGTAGTTGAGGGTTCTGCACTCTTCCGGATACAGTGCTCCGATGTTGTTCCTGGAATCTGCAGGAGGCACCTGACACTCCTGTGCAGATAGAACACCTGGTTATAACTTCAGCTTGGCCTCAAAGACAGCACACTTTGTTTAATCACAAATCTATCAGTAAGACTTGCAGCTCTTTATTTATCCACAGAGGCCCGAGATGACCTTCAGGGCTTTTGGTGATAACTGTAGCTATGTCAAAGTAAAATGAGCCAGCAGCTTAAGATTACGCTGAAACTGGAGGTTGTGTCAAGTTCTGATTAGAATTATATGAACGTAAAATGTCGTGAGATTTGAAAATACTCTGTTGTCACACCTGAAATCACTTTTACAGCCAAACAATGTAAAACATAACAGAGCACCAAAGATGAATAAGGCTTAGTATTTATTATAGTTACGTGCTCATTGTGAAATAAATAATGAATGCATTTAAAGACATTTACACAAAATATGTTCATAAACAATAAACACACACAGTGGATAAAATTTGTCTTTTACCCAAACAAATATTAAAGCTAGTCAAGAGTGTCAAGTGCCATCGAAATAAGTGTGAACTACAAATGACTCCACGAAGGTGGCGTATATAACAAAGTGTTTGGATTCTGATGATGAGTGCATAAAAAAGCTTATAAGAACTATTAACTACGGTATAGTGGCTGACATGTTTCTTAACAGACACCACACCAAGAGACGAGCACAGACAGAAGAATAGTGAAGAATCGGGCAGCTGGAGATATTTTCATGGGTTAGAGCAGATGTGGGTGAATTAAGTCTACTGTAAGTAAAGAAGAAAAAGCATTTATGGTGCTCTAGGATGAGGTAACATCTCAAAATAGATTTAAAAAAAAAATCTAAGATTTTTGTGCATTTATGAGTAGATCACTTTTGTTTCTGTTATTTGTTTCTTGTAAATTTGTTTCTCTCCCCACAAATGTTATTTCCATTAGCTGCACAGATCACATTAACATGAAGATATATGAAGGCCTATAATGATAAGTACATAAAGGAGTAACTTCTTCCTGAACATTACTTATTCACCAAATTACTGGTGGCCGGTCTGAGGTTAGAGCTAACTTTAAATTAGTGTAACAAACAACCAAATATTCTCCATGAAGGGGCTAGGGGTTAACCAAACACTGTCCTTAACCATACATGGATTGCTGTTTATTGTGGTGTTACTGGAAGTTTGCTGTCTGATTACATTTCTAAAGTTTCTGAGGTGACCTTTTATCTATGAACATATAAGAGGTCTGGGTCGCTGCACATACACAAACACATACACTGTTTGATTGTTTTTATACCAGAGGACGTCTGTGAGTTGGAAAAACTGTTGGAGAATTCGAGGAATATAAATATTATCTTCAAACTCCGGACTGTAAACCCATAATTCTTTAAAGTGCGCTCTTATTGGCTGCAGTCGGCTGACTTGTTGTTTCATATGCAGTCATCCTCCTGTGTGACCGTGAAGCTTTGACTTTGTGCCGAAGCGAATGCTGCCAATTCCTTCTGTATGCTTCCCTCTTCGGACTGCTCGGAGGCCCCAGGTACTGTAAAAGTTTTTTCTGAAATACTTCTTGGAACTGCAAGACACAGATAAGAATAAAGAGTTCATTAAACAATGAGGAGCTTAAGGCCTCCAATACAGCTGTTATTTTGTGTTATGTGGTCACTGTTGCTGATATTCTGTTGCTTCACACAAATTGTGCTGGATCACCACAATACCAGAGAATTTCCCCGGCTTGGCAATACTATTGCAGAATTACAAATCCAGGAATATAAGTATTCATCTCATAAGGCCAAAGCTCATAAAGCGCTATACAAATACAGGCCATTTACCATTTATAAGTCTTTAGTGGCTGTAGTGCCAACTGGTTGTTTTCCTCTTTCGTGACAGTGAAACTTTCTGCTAAAGTGTATGCTGCCTTTTTCTTTGTGGCTTTTGTGGTTTTGGATTCAATAAAATGAAACTTTTTTGTCTGTGGCCAGTTGAAACCATGTCTGGATTTACTTGTTAGGCATGTCTTTAATAGTGACAGGTGTGTCAGAGGAAAACCACACAATAAAACAAATACAACTCCCAATCCTGATTTTCTGGCTAAGTATTGATATATTTACTAAAGGGTAATATTGAGTCTGTCCAACATTCAGTAGGTATATGGACATATTCCTGCATTCTTATACAAAACACACTTATATGAAAAAGAAGGAAAGTGTTTTTCACAGCTCTGAAATATACATATTTTTTTCACCATCTTTAGATATTTAATCAAAAATGGAAATAGTTGTGGATCACATGCTTGCAGTACTACCACAGATCACTGAGAGAAGACTAAGTCCACAGTTGGTTTACAAATGTTCTTTGGGATCTAATGTGACCTACTTTGGTAAAGGTCAGCAAGGACTGAGGACACACGCTTGACTGTATTTTATACAATGAGCCAGTTAAGGGTAAGGCCCAGCTTTTTTCTCTTTGATCCAGTATAATCAATCCTCTGATAATCTTAAGGCCAAGTGTGAACTTAAACAGCACAGTGGTGCAGAGTCAGCACTATCACTTCACAGCAAGAAGGTCCTGGATCAAATCCACTGTGGATGTTCTGGCTTCCTCCCACAGTCTGAACACACATGGGGGTTAGGCTAAGTGGTCGTTCTAAACCGACTGTACGTGTGAAGGACACATGATAGGTTCTCTCTCTGTGTCTGGCCTTTGGGGTGTATCCTCATGTTTAGCCATGAGATAAGCTCCCACCTTCTCCCTGTTCTTCTGAAGTGGATAAGGTGAAGACAATGGATGGATACAAGGTATATAAACTTATTTAAACAACAGAGATCTTACCAAATCTGGCTGTGTAGTGGCATGTACTGTTGTGGATGGAGAATATGTGGTCTGCTGGCTCCTTGGTTTAGCACAGTACATCTCAAGGTGATGAAGTTCACAACCTGATGACAGGCAACACAGATCCACTATCCCCTTCCCTCTGGACCGAGCGCCATAACCAGACCACAAGCCTTTACCTGCAGAAGGGAGACGTGTCACACACTACGTTCTTCTCTTTCCTTTAACTATCAATAGCTTTACAGTCAAACAAAATCTCCTTTACAGAGTACAGTGGTGCTTAAAATTTACTGTGTCCCCTTATGTGGCCATAACAACTTCCTCCTCTGCAGAAAATAAATGTAAATGTGCTCAGACAGTTTAGTTATTGTTGAACTGCCGTGGCTGCGGCGCAGGAGGTAGAGCGTGTCTGCTAATTGTTAGGTTGGTGGTTTGATCCCTGGCTGCTGCAGTCTGTGCGCCAAAGTATCCCTGGGCAAGATGCTGAACCCCGACTTGTTCCTGATGTGTTCATTTGGGTTTAAATGTCTGTGTGTGTGTTAAATGGATAAACGCTTTTCTATATAAGAACGAGTCCATTTATTATTTTATTTTAACATAATGCACTACCCAACTCTGAAAACACATCAGGACACATTCTCAACAGGACAAAAGTCATGTTAATCATCTATACTGATATTAATGGGCGATCGTAGGGGCGATCGTAGGGGCGTAAAGCGCTTTGGGGTCCTTAGGGACTAAGCCAAGTGCTATACAGATACAGGCCATAATGTGTTGGGAACAAAAAGATGCACTGAATTCAAAGACATCCCAAAAACCAAAGTGAAAAATATATGGCGGGCTAGTTCATTTAGCCGAAATTTCATTGTAGCAACTCAAATTGGTACTATCAGATTTAGGTCAGGTGCTTCATCCTCTAGCAACTATATGTATACTCTCACCACACGGGGAAGCTAGGTCCCACTGCACCAGCACAAGAGCTGACAGTCAAGAGTGTTGTTGTCTAAGCTGTAGAGGTCTGTGTGGCCCTCCCATGCTTTCCCAGACCATCACTAACCCTCTACTAAACCAGTCATGTGGAACGATGATGCAGGCAGCATTTTCCACAGCTTCTCCAGACCCTTTCACATCTGTCACATGTGCACAGGGTGAACCTGCTCTCATCTGTGAAAAATACAATTCTGGTATTCTATGGCCAACCACAGGGGTACCCAGCTGTGAGCACAGGGCCCACTAGAGGATGGTGGCTCTCAGGCCCATTAAATCTGTCTGTTTTGTCACTTACCAGTGGCCTGTTGGCCTGCTCTTTGTAGAGCTCTGACAGTGCTCTTTCTATTCCTGCTTGCACGAAGGAGCTGATACCAGTCCTGCAAATGGTTTAAAGACCATTCTGTACCCCTGTCCAGCTCTGCTAGAGTAAATGCCTGTCTCATAGAATTTCTTCTGTGTGCTTTAATCTGTTCTGGGAGAGACACATCAAACCTTCTGGTTTGATGCAAGAGACCACGTTACCTGGATCCAACAGTGCAACCTCTGTTGGTGCCAGGTATTACCTCACGCTACCAGTGGTGACAATGACCTAGCCAAAGGCATAACAGTCAGAAAAGATGAGGAGGAAAAATGTCAGTGGCCTGAAACCATTCGTGTTTGGGGACTTGTCTTATTGCTGCACCTTTGAGCACCTTTTGTTAATTTTATTAACACCAAAGCAGCGGAAACCAATAAAAAACCCTCTGCTACCTGACTGACCACATCAACATCCTAGAAGTTTAAATGACTTATGCTCTGATTAATTCCTTCCTGGTGTTTTACTGATGCCATTTAAGAAGTGCATTTAAAATCATCAGGATTTATCCTCTGGAGCACAGACATGAAATCTACAGATGATTTCATGTCAGTCTATTTAGTAGCAGTGACACTGTTTAATGTGAATGATAATATTTTTAAACCATTATTATTTACAGCATTTCATTTTTTTAAGCTCTAAATCAAAATCAATAAATATAAGCGAAGAACTGACTCAAATGACTCGACCTATTACACTGACTCTGTTTAAATGGTTTATAATGTTATGTCACTAAAAACAAAAACAAAAAATAAGTACATAAAAATGATAGGTTTACAACAAAATATATATATATTTGTACTGCTCTCAGATAACACTGTTTTAACAATAAGACTATATATAT